ATAGCGACCTCTCCTTAGGTTTCCAAGGTGGTATCTCTACAGAAGTAGATTGCCCATAATTAAAGGAAAAGAAGGAATTAAAAAAAAAAAAAAAAAAAGTCTTCCACTCAGTTGCTAATAATGATGTAACTCAACGTCAAAAAAACTTTCAAAATGTCATTGGTATATAATCTAAGAAATATTACATTTAAGCAATTTCCAACACTATCACATATTATTCTATGATTATCATCGTTAGTAAGCATTACTAAGGATTCTGTATGGTCTGGTATAGGAGGAGGTCTGTGAGGACAGAGTGATACCATGTATTGGGTGACACCAACCCTCGCGACACCACTGAGGTAGAAAGAGGACGCTGAGGTAAAGGGGGAAGGCAAATTACCCTTGAACCCTTTAGCCTGGGTTCTTACTGGGATCTCTGCTAGCCCACAGGCCCCTGGATCCCCAGCTTCCTAACCGTGCTGGCTCTGCGACCACCTTTCATTCAGAAGGGTTAAGTCATGAAGTATCACCCTTAACCTGCCACTGTGAGAAACCAGACGGTCTAGGGGACAAAGCTAACCTCTTGCTGAGTTGTGAAGACAGTCAGTAGATGTTATAGTCAAGAGCACTGGCGTAAGAGTCAAAGACCTTGGTTGAAATACCACCTGTGCCTCCCCTTCCTAGCTGTGATCTCTGAATTTCCCTGTGTATAATATGATGGTAATAATACCTTCTGCACAGGGATGCTGTGAGGGTTGAATTAAATAATGGGTATAAGGTATTTAACCAACACCTGACATGTAATCTCTTATCAACTACCAATTGCTTGGGCTAGATTAAGTGTGGAATTTCTGGCTCTAACAGAACCATGGAGCCACCTTGTGGTTTCTGTCCCTGAGAACAGCTGGTTAATAAATGTAATTTTTCAAATGCCTATAAGCAGGCCATGCTTGGTGTTTTGGTTACTTCGTGCTGCTCTAAGAGAAATATACCACAAATGGGATGGCTTTAACAAAAAGGAGTTTATTTTCTTGCAGTTTAGGAGGCTAGAAGTATGAGTTCAAAGTGCCAGGCTGTAGGGGCTGGATGAAAGCCCCTCAACCTTGGGCTTCAGCTCTGCCTCTTGCTCCTGGCCCACTGAAACTGGAGGCTTTTTTTCACTCAAACAGCTGGTGGCTGCTCAGGCTGACAAACTAGTAAAAGGGCACAGTCCTGGCCAACATCAGCAGACCACATCCCTAAGGCAGCTATTCAGCTGCTCTAGTGGATTTCACCATGGAGGTGATTACCAATCTCACCAGGTGGAATAACTACATTCAGCTGTTCAGCCACTCAAAACCAGGCCCAGCGAAGTTGACACATAACTATAACTACCACATTGGTTAAAGTCATTGTTATTTAAATAGGTAAACTCTGCAATGGTAAGTATGGTATTGGTATCTAACAAGGCATTATAGAAAGAGATTATGGAGAAACATGATTTGGGAGGATATCCCTTGTCAAGGAGATGCCCTAGTCACCAATCATCATTGCCTAAGTTTTACAGTAAACAGGAAGTAAGGTTTTGTTGGCTTTAGGAGAGGGGATGCATAATCAGAAGAAAACTTCTCTCCTCAGTTTCCCAACCTCTGGCACACTTTCAAGCCCTACCCTATTGCTTCTCCCAATTACGTTCAACCCCCACTTTTCCTTACCTTTTCTTCCTCATTTCAGCATCCCTACCTCTGGTGGCATAGTGCCTAAGGCATTTGACTGTTAACCATAAGGCTGGTGGTTCAAACCCACAAGCCACTTATTGGAGGGAAGCTTCGGTAATCTACTTCTGTAGAGATACCCCCTTGGAAAGCCAAGGAGGGGTTGCTATGAGTTGAATTGACTTGACAGCAGTGTGGTTTTTTGTGTTGTTGTTGCTGTTTTTTTGTTTGTTTGTTTGGGTTTTTTTTGTTTGTTTGTTTTTGGCTTTGCAGCTTTATTTGGATACTTAACACTTATCACTCACATACCCTGAATTTTGTTTATTTGTTTATTGTCTTCCCCCATTTGGATAGAATCCTCATGAGGGCAGGAATTTCAATGTTTCTTCGCTGCTTTAACTTCAGTACCTAAAACACCCATCTGTGACTTATAATACTCAAACCAAACTCACTGCCATTGAGTCAAGTCCAACTCATAGCAACGCTCATTGGGTTCCCAAGGCTATAAATCTTTATGGAAGCAAACCACCCCAACTTCCTTCCACAGAGCAGTGAGTGGGTTTGAACCACTGATTTTTTGCTTAGCAGCCAAACACCTTAACCACTGCACCACCAGAGCTCCTAACAACTTTTAATAGGTGCTTAATAAATGTTTGTGGTTTGGATGATGAGTGAAAATAAAGATGGAGTCTGGAATGGGGAAAACTAAAGAAGTTACCCAGCATGCCACAGTTTTCAAAATGAAAACAGTATTTTCCAAGGTGGGAAAGGAATTTCTTGAGAAAAAGTTGGTTTCATAGATATGCCGCACAGGGCTCCACACTTGGGATTTCATGTTCTGTGGCTGCCATCTTGAAATTATTTTTTCCCCCCATTTTGAAATTCTTAATAATTTCCGTCTTTGAATTTGTGTTTGTAAGTCAATCAGTGAAGCAATGAACATGTGTGGAGGCTTAGAGTCAGCTCACACATGGTCCTGCCCCCTGCCCCCTCCTCAGGATGGTTCTCAGCCAGATGTTCCTGCAACGCTTGGTGCCCAGCCCCATCCTACTACCCCTTCCCATCTGCCCTATGACGACTAGCCCCGTCAGCTCCCACTAGGGGTAGTCTAGGGAAGGATCAGGGTTGAGTGCCCAATGCCCCAAAGCATTTTGGGGGCAATATGTGACAGCAGCTTCCCTTTTCCCCCATGCCCACTCCCCTTCACCCCCCACTGGCAGCCCCATGGCATGTCTGGTAAGCAGCTAGCATGAAGCCATTTCTTGGAGTGAGGGTGGGTGAAAGCCTCTTGCCCACCCCTGATCCAGGTACAAACTAAGTCCCAGTCTAGAGGTTTAAAGATCCTTGGGGGTTGCCCATTTACTATAGATTGGGGCAGTGGGCCTGTAGGAAAGAGAACCATCTGGCTCAACTTCTCCAGAACCTCCTCCCCTGGCAGGGGTCCAGTTCACAGATCTGGTGGTTGGAGGGAGGGGCAATAGAGTCTATGCCTGTCATGGGTCCTCAAGGGTCTATAAGGTCAGCAAGTATCCCCATGCCTGGGAGCACTCTCTTAGCTGGGTTGAAATTTGTGGGGGGAAGCCATTTCTTCCCTCCTCCTACCTTCTTGATTCTGGATTGTGTGTTTGTCTCTCTGGCCAACTCAAGGGCCCCCTTCAGGGATGAATCACAAAATACACATTATGTAATTTCAGTGATTTCACATACAAGTTCAATGTTCTGATATTTGGATTTAAAACTGGCATTGTACAATATAAAGGTGAATGGCAAAATTTATACTAATAATTTAAAAGCTAAAACTCCGTTACTTGGGACAAGGAGCGCTGGTGGAATAGTGGGTAGGACATTTGGCTGCTAACCAGAAGGTCAGCAGTTCAAACCCACCAGCTGCTCCACAGGAGGAAGATGAAGCAATCTACTTCCATAAAGATTTACAGCCTTGGAAACCCAAGGGGGGGTCACTATGAGTTGGAATCAACTCAAGGGCAGTGGGTTTGGTTTTTGGTTTTTTACTTAGAACACTAAATAGCAAATAATGCCATAAACAGGGTGTGTCTGTACAAAAAGAGAAAAGGCATTATATCTGCCTTTAATGGTATCTTTTTCCTGGTTTTTGAACAGAGCCCCATATTCTCATTTTGCACTGGGCCCTGCAAACTATGTAGCCAAGCAGGAGTTATACTCAACATTTCTATCAAAATGGTACCATTAGGACTAGTTCTAGATACACCATAAAGATGTGATAGTCAGTTTCTGAGTATGTTTGGATATGATTATTTGTCTTTAATAGAGAAGTATGTTACCCACACACCTCAGAAACCCAAGGAGGGGTCGCTATGAGTCGGGTCCGACTCGACGGCACATAACAACAACAACAACCCACACACCCACATAATAAAGCAATTGATATAAAGGAGCTGCTTTCTCTCATTATTAATCCCTCATAACTTGGTCTTATTTCATTAAGCTAAAATGATTAGCATTGCCAGGAAAACATCACATGAAAAAATGTGATGGGCACAGCAAAAATGGTTAATTTCTATTAAAATCTAGACGTATAAAAGTATCCATCAAAATCCAAAATAAATTTCCTTCAAAGGTGGGAAAATAGTCTAGCAGTTTGAGACTACACTGGAGTTCTTGAGAGTGGTGATATTGACATTTTGTGATGGGGGCTGTCTCAGTGCATGGTAGGATGGTTAGCAGCATCCCTGGCCTCTATCCACTAGATGTCAGTAGTACCAATCATGCCAATTAATTAAGATGTCCCCTGGGGGTAAGATCCCTCCCCCTCTTCCCTCAGATGAGGAGCACTGCTTGAGATGGTTAATGAGATGGGGGGAAGTGCCTTTGCAGTTAGGCGCTCCTGAGCACCAGATCCAGGTGTGCTTCCCTCCCCTGCAATGCCCGTGAGTCACACATACAGTCTCTCCTCTGACACATAAACACAGGAAAATGAAAGAACTCTCTTTTAATTTGTGAGAAAGAGGTGGGTAAATGACAGCCAGCTCACATACTGTGAAACACAGTAAATTTAATAGTTATTGTTAAATAGAGTGAAAAGGAAAAGAACAATATAGACATCACAGTGATGAATTTTCACAAAAGGTGATAGATTTGATGTCAGGTTACTGTGACCTATTTGAATCCCGTTAAGTTTTCCTAAGAAACAAGAACACTTAAAACCTCAGACTTCAGGTTTAAATCTAGACATGACAATTGTAAGCACACCACTCTGACACAGAAAACTCAGTAAGTGCCATTGCTGGATAAATATTTCTTTCCTAACATTATTTCTCTCCACTCCCTAGATTCAGAACATGGCATCTTATATTTCCAGTATTAATTGCATATGGAATTAAAAATCCAATCAGCCAGGAAAGTGTCATTGTTTCTATGAAGTGTTCTTAGCTTCTGGTAAAGAAACAAAGAACAAGGAAAAATGTGGGCAGTTTCTACAACTGTTGCTGAAGAACAGCAAAAGCAATTCCAAAGTATCATGCTTACTGTACAAAAGGCATGGCTCACAGAACCAAGTATAGAAGGCTACAGCAGTTGAATATCAATCTTTAAAGGCTTGGCAGTATTAAATACTGTACGCAGCTTGGTGTCCCCCTGTGAGGCTAGCGCATGCCCAGGATCTGTCTGCTCTTGAGGTGGTAATTCTTTTCGATATCTGACAGGGCTTGAGCACGCAGCTGGGCAGCATGAAGCCTTTTCTTTAGGTCTCTGCACTTGGACTTTGACGTCAGCAGATTCTCTGAATTCTCACTCTTCCTGACATTCTCTTTACTTTCTCCACTGAAATGAACTTTCTTCTTCATCATTGAGGATGGAAGATCAAGAAGGTCTTTAAAAAGAAAAATAAAAAGGGTTTTGCATTACTAGAACAGGAATTCAACTCCTCCCCACCTATATTTATCCAAAAATACTTATTCACTCTTCGGTGCTCATTTGACTGCCAGGCACCTATCTTACTTTCTGAGGTAAGAGGTGAAGTGGAGTGGTGGCTGGCAGACATCAGTCAGCCTGTTAGTCCACAGCACTGAAAAAATAACCCTTGAATTTTCCAAATATCAAGGCACATACATTTTTCTTTCTTAACAATCAACTTCTCCTCCTAAGGTTTAACCCACCAGAGATTATGGGCCCTAACATAAAACTTCTAGAAATCAGTGTTATTTATCCTTATCCTTGAAAACAGTACCACTCTATCTAGAAAACATTACTTGCAGAAAAGCATGGGAACCGGGGCTCATTCTTATATAGTCCTCACAGTTTTGGTTAAGAGTTCAACAACACTTCATTCAGAGTAGCTTAATTGACTTGAAACTTGTTTCAAATAGAACCTAAATAAGTTTAATGTGGAAAAGGTAATGACCAGGGAAATCAACAGTATAGAAACAGTATAAACAGTTAAACAAGGACACATGACGAATAAGTGATGGTGATAAGTGCTATGGGGAAAAATAACATGAGAAAGGGAATCAAAGGTGTTTGGAGTGAACAGAGTAAGTCTCACACAGTAAGTGTCTTCTGACAGTGACCTGATGACAGTGAGGAGGAGGTAAGCCTGCTGCTATCTGGGGGAAGAGCACTCAGGCCAAAGAACCACACGGAAAAGGCCCCAGGTAGGAGCACACAGCACAGAGAACCACTTCCTTCCGGCTGTCACAGGACTCTGACTTCCCGCTTTAGACACTGATTCTGCTTCAAAGCAAAGTTGTGGATTGCTTTTAAGACCTTAACTCCATTGTTTCAAATAAGTCCATCTTTTATAACCATAGTCAGTTCATATCTAGTTCAACAGAATAAATTTAATATACACTGTTAAATACAGTAAAAAGGAAAACAAAGAATATAAACATCACAGTGAATTTACAAGCCAACATTACATTACTAATAGGATAGTTTTATAAGCAAGACAAGTATTTACAAAAAGAATGAAGTTCATTGACTAGAATGAGGATGGCTTTTAAAAAAAAAGAAGATAGTGCTGCTTACTGTGATGATCTTGATAATATTTATATTTTCTTCATGTTTGAATTTTATAGCCCAGGGCTGGGAAGAGGATATTTCGAACTGTTTTGAGTTCAAAATGACACCTGTTTCCCATTGCTTTGTTTTTGTTTTTTATCTAGAGCTCTGGCACACTTGGTACCTTCAGTTCTAAGAATTTTTAAATGACTCCTACCCCAGTGGATACTAGATTCCTATAGCTACTTTTAGGTACCTGCCATGGTTCACATACAGGGTGGGGTCCCTAGATAAGGATATGCTTCATTTTCTACCCTAGAAAATGAAGCATATCCTTATCTAGGTATTTTCTTCCTTCTCTCAAAGGCTATTCAGGGAAAGATGTAAATAAACTCTCTAACTAGAAGAGCAGTCCCCACTAGGACCTTCAATAATGCTCTGCAATGACACATGCAATAATGCATGAAAACTGCCTGGATAAAAATTTCCTCCTAACTCTATTACCAGGACCATGATCTAAGTCTATTTTACTTTTATGGATAGCAATGTGGAGTCTAAGAAAAACTGAAACAAGTATCATAAAAATACTGAAATGGTAGATAGTGATAGCTAAAAAACGAAATAAATAAGGAGGCTATTTTAACAAAGATGAAGTCAATTATTATTTCATTTACTTCTATCACTAGTTTCATTTCTATCACTTACTCACTGTAAAGTTATTGAAAATCATCAAAGCAACTGAAGTAATTTCTTTTTGTCAGCACCATTAACAAAATGCTGTCATGATCACTGATGTAATCAGATTCTCTCAGTTTATTAAAGATGAAAATGACAGCCTTAATTGATGCCTTTCCTTCATAGTACAGGGGAGCCATAAGAACTCTGACTAAATTTCATTGAAAATTCATATACTCAATTTTTAAAATGAATAAAAAACTTTTAAAAATAATTAGTATCATAAAGAAATCCACAGGACTTCTGGTAAGATGGAGGAATAGGCAAACAAGCGACACAGACCCTCTTCAACAAAAACAGAAAAATCAACTGACAGTGATACAGAAGATAATCCTGGAGCCCTGAGCTTTGAAAGGAACTATACAGAAGTGGATTAGGCAGCAACTTGTGGAAAAACCTGAACAAAAACAGTGAGTACGGAGATGGTCGGAGCTGCACACTGTCAGCTACTCTGACAGGACCAACAGCCTGGATATTTCCAAGTGGTGTTGGGATCTGAGAATTGACTTAAAGGTCAGCCCTGATCACCAAGGGCTGCAGGGATGACTGTGCTGGTGGCCTATGACTAGGAAGGAAACAGCAACAAGGGAGACAACCTGACCTGTTGACTTTCCGCTGTCCGAAGGGCGCAGCCATTTTGATTGTTTACACGCAGCAGCCATTTTGAATATTTAAAGTGATCGAGGGCACAGCCATTTTAAATGTTTACAAGTGGCAACCATTTTGGATTTTAAGGTGACAGATTCTCATTCAGATTCCAGGGACCTAAGAATAGGCTCTGTTTGCCAAGTTCAGCAGGGACATACAAGAGGCTGACAACAGGAAAGAAGACAGATGGTGAGCATATAAATGCTGCCAACTAGCGAACAGAGGAGCACAGCACAGTACCCTGCTTGCATAGATAACATACAAAAAAAAAAAAACAAAGAGAATGAAAATCGTGGGCAAGTCACTACAACACACAATCACCAATTAAATATAAACACAAAAATGTCACAATGCCTCGGAGACAACAGAGCATCATAGTCCACACAAAGAAGCAAGATAAAGCAGGAGAAACAAGGGACCAGGATATAGACCCAAAACACATCCCTGAGGAAGACACAGCAATGGAACTCCCTGATAACAAATTAAAAAGAACTATATTTAGGTATCTTCAAAGGATTGAGAGATAGATCAAGGAAAACACAGACAAAACCCTAGAAGAATTTTGGAAGAAAATACAAGAACAAAATGAAAAAATAAATTAAAAATTAGGAATGATTCTAAATCTACAGATGGAAATCCAGAAGATTAATACTAAACTTTCAGAAACAGATAACACATTAAAAGGGCAAAGGAATACAGTTGATGCAATGGAAGACAGAATTAATGAGATTTAAGACAAATACCTGAATACGTCTTTGAAAGGGATCAATCAGAGAAAAGATCAAGACAAAATGAAGAAAGCCAAAGGTTCATGTGGGACACCATCAAAAGGAATAACCTACGTGTAATCAGAATTCCAGAAGAGGAAGAGAAAAAGAAAAATACTGAAAATATTGTCCAAGATTTGTTGGAGAAGAAATTCCGTGATATGATGAAAGATGAGAATATATCCATTCAGGAAGTCCAACGAACCCCAAACAGGATAGACCCCAAAAGAAAATCACCAAGACATATCATCATCAAAATCACCAAAACCAAAGACAAAGAATCCTGAGAGCAGCATAGGAAAAATGAAAAGTTATCTACAAGGGGCAACCAATAAGACTGAACTTGGATCTCTCAGCAGAAACAGAGCAGGCGAGAAGACAATGGGATGGTATATATAAAACCCTGAAAGAGAAAAATTTCCAACCAAGAATTATGCACCCAGCAAAACTGCCCCTCAAATATGATGGTGAAATTAGGACATTTCCAGATAAGCAGATATTAAGGGGTTTGTTAAAACCAGACCAACCTTACAAGAGATGCTAAAGGGAGCCCTTTGGACAGAGAAGCAACAACAGCCAACAACAACTGACCATTAACACACATGATGATATAACTCAGAAACCAACCCATCTATGGAAGTAGCCAAGGTAATTAAATAAGCCTACAAGATTATAAACAGGGAACCAGAGACAATTGACAAATGAGGACAACTACAAACCAAAAAGAGGGAAAAAAATCTGTGTCATTACAGAACTTCTAGATGGTAAGGATGTCAACAAAAATTCCGGGTAGAATGAACTGTTCTAAGCTTGGGAAGAAAACTATAAATCACAGGCTAACCTCAGAAAAATGATAAACCTTCACATCAAAATAAAAAAGAGGACCAGCACAAATATTTAGCAAATACTAAAACAATAGCAACAAAGGATGTGATAACACTATTCATAAACAAAACTCAGTATAGAAAATTATATGGAACAAAGACATCGACACCACAAAAAAGCACGTAACAAAAATAACAGCAACAAATTCATATTTGCCAATAATTACATATCTAGCAAGGTTATCTCTAAGATTTATAGAAAACTCCAATGCCTCAACACCAAAGGAGTTAACAATTCAATTGAAAAATGGGCAGAAGACATGAATAGACACTTCACCAAGGAGGATATTCAGGTTGCCAGCTAATACATGAAGAGATGCTCACAATCATTGGCCATCAGAGAGATGCAAATCAAAACAACAATGAGGTACCATCTCACCCCAGCACTGATGGCAAGGTTCAATAAGACAGAAAATAACAAATGCTGGTGGGGATGTGGAGAGATTAGGACTCTCATACACTGCTTGTGTGACTGTGAAGTGACACAACCACTGTGGAAAGCAATATGGTGATCCCTTAGAAAGTTGGAATTGGAGATACCATTTGACCCAGCAATCCCATTACTAGGTATATATCCTAGAGAGGTGAGAGCCAGGCTAGGAACAGATACATGCATGCTCATGTTCATCACAGCACTATTTATAACAGCAAAATGATCAGCAGAAGAGTGGCTGATCAAACTATGGAATGAAGAAACTATGTTAGATGTTGATTCATTGTCTACACAATGCCACACCTCACTAGAGCAGTGGTGGGACAACGCACACACAAAGACAGGACCAGGAGAAAGTCAATGTTTTCTACCTATAAGACTGAATAAAGACAGAAACATGCAGGACAGATGTAGAATGGGGCCATAAAAATTTTGACAAACATGTATTTCAACTTGAACGGGACTTAGCAATGACCCAAAAATGATCGCCTACCCTGACATTAGTTTCTCACACCTTTCAAGGCACACTTTCCATAAGGATGAGGGGCAGTGGTATTACAATGTTAGAGGTTTTGCTTGAAGCTTGAGTCTAAAAATGTAGAGTTTTGATAAAACCAGAGAAAAATCTTGGACTGCTTAATATTTTTTTTAATGTTCTAATTTTAAAAAGTAGATATCAAATACTAAGCATGTAGTTTTAATCAGGTAAATAAAATCAAAGGAGAAATTATGACAACTCGTGGCCTCAGGTCTATGAACCCAACAGATAAACCACTGCTAAACAGAACTCTTATTTAAGGGCATATATTCAATGAAATACATCTTAAACTTTGAGACTTTGTAAATCAAAAGAGCTCCCACAGTCATCGCAGAGCAACACTTACACACTGTTCTTCACTGGGGCACTAGTTCCTGTTCACTGAGTTAGTTCTCATACCTGGATTACTTGCTAGAGATAGGAGTTTCTGTTCCTTCAGCAGGCTGTAATTCTTCAACAGACTTTCTGCTCTTGCCAGTTTATCCTCTGCAAGTCTTTCACGAATACAAATCTCACGTTCCTTCTCTTTAAAAAAGAATGAGAAAAGAAAAGAAAGAAATGAACAAGTGGCTTTGGGTATAGGCTAATTTACATTTAGTAATCTTACCTCTTTGTCTCATCATGTTTGACCACTGGTAGTGATGTTTTCTGAAAGTGTTTACTGTATACCCTGGTCAACCTGACCATGCTAGCTTTGAATTCAGTGTTTTGATATGGTGCTCACATTATCGTGCAAGGACTTTAGGCAAACAAGTACAGAGTTAGCTTCAACCTTTGATCATGTGTGGGAAGCAACAACTAAAGCCACCTCTGCTGTCTACTGAAAGCAGACAATAGTTGATTTTCAGGACCTTGCCTGGCCTCACAGTACAAAACCTCCTTCTGGCTGAATGAAAGGCACCTAAATAGAAACAAACAAACCACAACTCAGGAGTTATTTAAGCTATTATTTCTTCATGGCCCAGAATTCAGAAAGTACTCAGATTTCAGGTGATATATGAAATTACAAAACACTGAGAAAAATTTTAAGAACAAATTTTGTTTTGTTTTTTATAGGATCTTTTGACAAGAGTCAACAAAAGGTTTCCAGATGAGCTTGCTATATAGTAAGCATATCTCACAATACTACATAATATTTGTCATTAAAAAGTAAAACATCAACCAATGCAGTAGATTCTTTATAGGCACATTTAAATTCGTAAATTCTACATCCTAGTTTGGTAAGTAGTGTTTTGAAGTCTTAACAGTTTATGAGCAGCCATCTAAGATACAACCATTGGTCTCTACTCATTTGGAGCAAAAAAGAATGAAGGAAATCAAAGATTCAAAGACGAAACCAGTTCACAGGGAAAATAGCCCTCACAAACCATGCCTCTTCTAACCTGAGACCAGAAGAAGTAGATGGTGCCCAGCTACCACTACTGACTATTCTGACCAGGGACACATTTGAGGGTCCCAGAAAGTATAGGAGAAATATGTAGAACAAACTTCAAATTCTTAAAATAGGTCAGACCTACTGGACTGATAATAGACTAGAGGGACCCCTGAAATTACTCCCCTAAGATACACTTTGAACTTGGAAGGTCATCTTTCAAGCAAATAATAGATTGGCTTCTGTTGTTGTTGTTGTTATGTGCCGTCGAGTCGGACCCGACCCATGGCGACCCCTCCTTGGGTTTCCGAGGCAGTATCACTGCGGAAGTAGATTGCCCCATCTTCCTTCCGAGATTGGCTTCTAGCACCCATAAATAATGTGCTCCCTTAAACAATCAACTATATGAGACCAAATGGTCAACGTAAGGAGGGGAGGAGAAGCGAGATCAATAGAAACAGAACATACCAAATGGAAATAATGAGAATGCTAACACGTTGTGAAAACTGGAGCTAATGTCACAGAACAACCTGCATAAAAATTCATTTTAAATGAAAAGCCTCCCTGCAGTTGCTACCTCGAATAATTCTAAAACCTTGGCAGCAGCTCCCATCTTGGTGGGGTGGGCAGATTTTTACTCTCAAAACTAAATAGCACCTACCCAGTAAATACCATCAAGTCAATGTCAATGCCCATCAGAGTATTATTTATAAACCTGGACTATCTTGTACCCACATTTTCTCTATGGAATTGCCTAAATATATCTAATCTTACACGGTAGGATTTTAGACCCCAAGTGGTGCTAAAGTAGCCATTTCAGAAGACAGAAGCAATGAATTTTTTATTACGGAAGGAAACAAATCCCAAGACCTTCCTTTACAATAGAAAAACTTCAGGGTATTTAAAGAAGAGAAGGGAAAAATAACTCTATAAGCAAAGTAGAATGGTTATATGTGAGGGCCATGACAGCCAGTGTCCAACAATATAATGCCTAACAACTGATCTCAGAGAAGTCAAGCACAAAGCGGCCAGCAAGCTTATATAGTCTACAATACATATTTTGGTGTTTCAAGTGTTCATAAGAATGTTCTAATAAAATATACACATGTAAAATACTCTGTTTGAATAAATATTCACTCGCATCAAAATAACCCTTCCACAGCTCTTTTTTGCTTTAACCCCCATTCAGACTTACGCTCCAGTCTTTCTTCTCTTGCTTTGAGGGCTCGCTCTCGCTCCTGTAACTGCTGCTCCTTTAGTTTCAACTCACTCACTGCAGGGCTGGAATCTTGCTGCAACTTTTCTGACTCTCCTAATCGTCGCCCTCTTCTCTCGGGATTTTTTCTTTGCTCTTCTGCAACCAAGTCTGCTATCAAAGGGCTCTCAAGAATTTCTTCAACAGAAGGTCGATGGTAATCCTGGGAATAAATGTGCAATGTTACAGCCAGATTTCATATCAGAATGCTCATCCTAAGAGAGGGGTTACATTAAAAGGTGCATATATTTCCAAGACAAAAGAAAGGACTCCTTTTCAGATGAGTCTTAAATATCACAAAAAATAAGTCCATTGGTGGCTTTAACTGCAGGTTCCCGGTCCACAAGATCTTCCAGATTTAACTTACTTTTTCCTCCCTTCAATCTTTTAACCTTCCCAAGGAGGCCCTGAAGTACTTTGGGATATCTTGTGCTGGTCCTTGACAGAGGTCTCTTTTAGGAGAAGGAGCCCCTGGGTGGTGCAAACAGTTAACACACTTGGCTCCTAACTGAAAGACTGGGGGTTCCAGTCTACCCAGAAATGCCTCAGAAGAAAGGCCTGGTGATTTCCCTCCAATGAGAAAACTCTGTGGAGTACAGTTCTACTCAGACACACAGGAGGTCTCCAGATGTCAGAATCAACTTGAAGGTAACTGGTACCGGTTACTTCCTTTGTTTCTCTAAGCTACCTCAAGCAGGATACTTTCTCACTAGCCTTCAGTCTTATTAGTTCATCTGTATCCTTTCATGATCTTATAGCATTTCCTTCCCCTCTTACATCAGCCTGATCCCCAGAACATCTCCCTCTCCAGCCCATGGCCAAATCTTTTCCACATAATCAATCTCTTTATTCAAGCTATTTTCCCTCCACATTTTCTAGACTCCTCTTTTTCTTATCTCTAAACTCTCAGTTAGAGCTAGAGGTGGAATAGGAAAGTCTTGTTTCTGGCCCTTTCCCTTACCACCTACCACTTTAAGGTAGGCAAGGACAGGGGTAATTGAGCATTTTGATCCTTTCTGTAATCTTTTTTTGTTACCAACCATCTGCTAGCAGGGCAGTGAGCAGGAGGAGAAATAAAGAAAAGCACAGAAGGTAGGCTAGCAAGGATGTGCAATCTGTCATATTTATATGTGTTTTCTCTTGTTCTAAGGATCCCTGGTGGCAAAGTGGTTAAAGCACTCTGCCACTAATCAAAAGGCTGGTGCTTTAAACCCATGAGCCACTCTATGGGAGAAAGATGTGGCAGTCCACTTCTGCAAAGATGTGTAGCCTTGGAAACCCTATGGGGCAGTTCTACTCTGTTCTGTAGGGTTGCTATAAGTTGGAATTGATTTGACAAAATGGGTTTGACTTGGTTTTGGTTTTCACTTGTGTTAACAGAATATATTTAGCTAAGGAAATATTTGTAATGTTTCTTCAGTGTCCGTTGCTCTATAAGAGCATATACTCCAAAATTTAACTGAGAGAAATGGACAATATGTAATTTTATACTCTTTACCTTTAAATTTAACATCCTTGTAATAATGTCATTCAATTCATCAGAGTAACGATAAGGAATTCGCCTGAATTTGCCTTCTCTGATCTTCCCAGCCAGTTCTTTCTGGTTGAAAGCTGTAAATGGAGGCCTGAAAAAAAAAAAACAAGAAATTTTAAAAGTGAAAATGTGTAACAGAAACCAAATCAAAAGTACAATTTAAGCTCTAGTTTGGACTTATGCTTCTACTTCTGTGATTCCCCCCTATAGCTAGGTTTCTCAACCTAGCTCTTAACATGTAGGGTCATACACTTTTGTTGTTGTGGCAGGCTGTCCTGTGCATTGCAAGATGTTTAGCACCATCCCTTTACCCACCAGAGACCAGTAGCACTCTCAGCTGTGATAACCAAAGATATCTCAAAAATAAATAAATAAATAAAAACACCAAAAGCAAACTCACTGCTGTCAAGTCAGTTCCAACTCATAGCAACCCCTCCTTGGGTTTCTGAGGCATTATCTCTAGGGAAGTAGATTGCCCAGTCTTCCTGCCGAGGAGTGGCTGGTAGGTTTGAACGACCAGCCTTCTGACATTGTTAAATGTCCCTAACCTGAAGCCCCTAGTTGAGAACCACGGCTCTACAGTATAATTTAGAAGGGGAAAAACAAATGACAAGAAGATAAAAGGGAAAGAATTGAAGCTCCCTCTGCAAACCTCTCCCATGTCTTTACAGCAACTTTAAGTTACCCACCTGACCTCTGTGCTCTCCTTTTAAACTAAGCATCTAATAGGGAAGCATCTAACCAGTCAAGTAGCTTGAAGAAGTCAAGACCCGGCCTCATGGGTTATAGACTTAATTTGTAAATATTTTTAAACCTGTCCATCTACACCCAAGGTACAATTCTTTCAGACTTGAATATGCTTTCATTAGAATGTATGCACAAAAAGCTGAACACAGGGAAAGGGATGAACAATTTAATCTGCAGACTAGGAATTCCTCATCATCATACTTACATTAATGCACACAATTCGTACAGCAAACAACCCAGTGACCAGATATCCGATTTCTCATTGTAGGACATACGATTCATTTGTTCCTTAGGAGGAGAAAAAAGAAGTAAAAGGATTAGGAGTTAATTTTGTTTTAAAATTTATAAAATTACTTGAGACAAAATGGAACCTTAAAGTTTGGTAATATTCACTCAAAAAATATATACTTTATATAAGTTTACATATAAACTATTAATTATATATTTATGATTTATTTAATACTTTCCATATTCAGAATTATGTATTATAACTATAAATATTTTATATCTGTAGCAAAAATTCAGATACAAAAGGCTGACTAAGCTTGTGTGACTCCTTGCATCCCAATAACAAAAGCTGGTACCTTACACTTGAAGGGGAAAAAAAGGCAACAATCTTGTCCTGATACACTTCATCACATACAATTCATTAAATATATATTTATTAAGTATACACTATATATAGTCTAGACACTGGTAATTCAAACATGAGTATGAAAAACCTCTACCTTTAAGATATTCCTAACCTAGAAAATCCATTTTAAAACAGAGAGAATTTCCAGTATAACTGAAGCATCTATCTAGCCTATATTTAAATGGCTAGACATAAATGGCTAATTAGATTCTTTTTTTTTTCCTTAGTGTATCATGTAAATCATGGCAGTAAGTAATAGTCTCACTATTTTAATTGTTTGTCTTTCTTCCACTTATTTCTACTGTTGTCACTGTACAATAGTCTGCCATTGCTGTTATTCTCAACAGATGCACAGAGGCAAGTAACTAAATCTCCAGGAGGCTGATTAGTGTTTTAAAGTCCAACAGGAGAGTTTCATACCATTTTCTACAACCAACACCTCAGGGAAGGCTGAACTGATCTAATTACAAGGGCAGGAAGGAAAGGGAACAAAAGAATTGTGTAGGTGTCAAATTTTTCAAGAACCACCTCTAGATAAATCTCCTTATGTTAAAGGCTTTCTATTTGGAATTTGATCCAATGTGAAAATGGTACTGTTCTGATCATGTCTGACCTTAGTCAAAAACAAAATTGTTAATTTACAAAGTTCTATAGCATAGTGGCTAAGACACTTGCCTGCTAACCAGACGGCTGGCGGTTCAAACCCACCAGCCACTCCTCGGAAGGAAGGTTGGGCAATCCTACTTCTGTAGTGATACTGCCTCGGAAACCCAAGGAGGGGTGGAAACCCAAGGAGGGGTCGCTATGAGTCGGGGCCGACTTGACAGCACATAACAACAACAATACTGTAATCAGATCTGTTAACATAAGTAAAAACGACTTGAAAAACCCTAGAAATGTTTGTTAATTTAAAAAAAAAAAAAAATCAAGCATAAATATCTCTTCATCTTTATCTGCTCAGATTTCATATACTAACATATTAGTGGTATAGCTCTTGATTCAAGTTTTCAGTAACCTACCAGGCAATAACCACAGAGTCACAAACCGTTCTTTCATAACCTTTTACCTGGTAATTTCATTTTGAAAGCTATCCTCCAAGGAAATAACCAAAAAGAAACAAAGAATAATTCCTACAAAAATATGCATAGCAGTGCTCCTTAGAATGATGAGGAATTTTGCAAATAATATATCTAGCCATAGAGGAAGCTGAAATGGAAGTGACTCTGCAGATGCATAAAAGTGAAAGGCAACAAAAGAGAAAAAATTAACACTTTAAACACAAGTTATCATGAGTGAGCCTCTTGAGCCATGAATCTCCATTCATAAGATTCATTTAGAGAATTAGTTTATTAAAATAGAGTCCAAAGCACATGGTAGAATTTCCTCTGCATTGGGTACTTCTGCAGAATCACCATGCTATTGCTGGACATTTGGTCAAAACTCCTTCCAGTACCTTAACAAGAGTAGAGCTCTTACACTGATATTAGGAATCCAATCACAAATTCAACAAATATTCCCATTGGCACCTGATACCTCCTTAGCAAGAAGGGGCTCACCTTGCATCAGATTGTATTGTCTTAGGATTTCTTTGTGTATGGAACTCTTTAATTCTCAATATGATGTGCCTTTTGTTTATTATTTTTTCCTAATGGATAAAGTTAAATGTATGGGAATTATACATTTATAATAGAGTCCAAAATAAAAAGTTAAAAAAAAAAGCTGAGTCCAGGGACCTGCCCAGAGGTTTCAATTCTGGATTTGTTTGGGGCTCAGGAATCTGGACTTTAAACAAGCACTCCAAGTGTGAGCGTTCAGGGCTCGCACTTTAGGAAACAATGCTATTGAAAGTGGGGACAAAGCTTATTTCATCTTCGTAATACTAGCACATGGAGTCACGCAATAAAAGCTTGAATTGAATTGCTGATATAAAAGAGTTTAATAGTCTGGTAGACAGTTTGGAAAAGATAACAGTTTAAAATGAAACAATATTATTCTTAGCAACTGAATATAACTAAAGAAACAAACAAAAATCTCAATTGCCTTGCATTTGAATGCTTAGCCTTAAGACATTAAAGGAACTATCTAAATTCTGTAATACTTACTGGTGACATGTAATATGGTGTACCAACAAATGTTTTTGCAAAACTCGTGTCGTGGTTTAATATTCTAGCTAGTCCAAAGTCTCCAAGCTTGACGTTTTGCTTGCCATCCAGGAAAACATTGGCCGGTTTCAGGTCTCGATGCAGCACAGTGTGGCCACCATCACTTCGTCTGTGACATTCCTTTAGGGCCAGGGTCAACTGAGTCATCACTCGAAGAACAAACTCTTCATCTAAGTATTGTCTGAAACCAAGGTAATTATGCAACTTAAAATTCGGAATAAAATCATTACAAAGAAGGAATGATGTCAATTACTAGGTTTTAAAGTATACAAATGAGAAGATAAATTATTCTTTTGATAATTATGGGTGTGTGGACACTGATTCACCAAGGACTTTCTAAAGTACAGTGGACCCACCTAACATATAGAACACTCTTTCATATTACTAAACAAAGCACTCTCAGATCCTAAAACAAGATGTTTAACCAAAATGAACCTAGACCCATTTCCAGTTCACATTTAAAAGACTGCATTACCTTTCCTTGGTTCCCTTTGTAATTACACTAGCCAGGTCTCCTCCTTCACAATATTCCATTACAATGTACAGTGTTGTGTTGGTACGGTCAATAATTCGATCATAGTAACGAACAATGTTTGGATGTTTCAGTTCCCGAAGCAAATTCACTTCAGAAACAAGCATTTGTTTCTCAGCCTCTGTCATGGAGCCATAGTCAAGTTCTTTCCAAACTAATATCTGAAATAAGAATTAAAGGGTATCAATGAACTCATTATATTCCAAACAAATAATTAAAGTTCTAAAGCTTAAAACATTGCCCTTTTATTAAGTATGTCCTGTTAACAAGGTCATTATCATCTAATTTATTTCAATAAACTTAAGGTGCCCTGCGTTTATTTCATAATCTTTCATTTTTAAATGGTAAATGATGTTATAGGGGGGTAGTATATGAACTTCCCATGCCCTGTCCCCCAGCTCCCTAGCCTAAGATGTTTACTGGGAGTTAAAAAGTTTGTTTAATCAAAGCTAAAGCATAAGAGGGGAAAGTCCAGGGCAATTCCAACTGTCCAAGCTTTCCCAGGAGGGAGAGACCTTAGTAAAGACCCATTCAATCAGCAGCCAGGCTGTTTCCGCAACCACTGTTTCTTTCTGTGAAAGGTACTTGAACAAACTGAATCCAATAATCCTAATAACGGGTATTTAAATGACTTCTGACTGCAAGGCATAAAATTCAGCTTCTGGTGGTCCTGCCCCTTTCTGACACCTGAGACGACTGCTATTAAATACTCTAAAAAAGTAGCTGAGTTAGCTACGTGTCACCCAGGGTGGACTTTGGAGAAATGAAGGAAATGAGAAGGGGAAAAAAGATATATATATACAGATATATATATACACACACATATATACATGCATACATATACACATATATATGTATATATACATATATACACTACACACACACACACACACATATATATATACACATACATACAAAATCTCCCCACTGCCATCGAGTAGATTCCGATTCATAGTGACCCCCATTGGGTTCCCAAGGCTATAGATCTTTACGGAAGCAGACTACCTCATCTTTCTTCCGCAGACCAGCTGGTGGGTTCAAACTACCGACCTTTTGGTTAACAGTCAAATGCCTTACCCACTACATCACCAGAACTCATTATATTTACATATATGTATATAGATACAGGGAGCTCTGGTAGCATAGTGGCTAAAGCACTTGACTGCTAACCAGAAGGCTGGCGGTTCAAACCCACCAGCCACTCCTCGGAAGGAAAGTTGGGCAATCCTACTTCCGTAGTGATGTTGTTGTTGTTGTTGTTATGTGCCGTCGAGTCGGCCCCGACTCATAGCGAGCCCTCCTTGGGTTTCCGAGGCAGTATCACTACGGAAGTAGGATTGCCCAACTTTCCTTCCGAGGAGTGGCTGGTGGGTTTGAACCGCCAGCCGTCTGGTTAGCAGGCAAGTGTCTTAGCCACTATGCTACCAGAGCTCCGTAGTGATACTGCCTCGGAAACCCAAGGAGGGGTCGCTATGAGTCGGGGTCGACTCGACGGCACATAACAACAACAACAACATATAGATACAGATATCCCACCCCTTCGGCGACACAAGACAGACTGTCTGACGCAGACCTAGGGAAGACTTGCTGACTCTTCCGGGTACCCAGCCCTCGAGACCCACAACTCCAAGCCTCTTCCTTTCCGGGCTCAGGGCGCTCGCTCCCGGGAGGTCGAAGCCACAGCAGAAACAGGGACCGGGAAGAAGAGGCCAGTATTCACCTTGCCGTCGCTCCTCCTCCTGATCTTCTGGCAGCGGCCGTAGGAGCCCGTGCCAATGGTGTATAGCACCTCATAGTCCTCGGCCCGGGACGGCATGGCCAGGTCCGCCCCCAGGCTCGTGTTGCCTCCTACAGGTCGCGGAGATGCCGCGCCAGACCCAGAGACCCTCCAGGCAGCAGAGATACTCCGAGGCAGATAGACTGTCTAGCCCAGCCTCCAGCCCCGTTTAACCGTCGCGGGCTCTGACCTCCTAGTCTATTGGCTGTCCGTGGGGTCACTACGACTCTCTGATTGGGTAAGAGGAACACAACACCTCCCTAGGCATCTTGGGAAAAGTGTATAACTAGGCAACCGCGTCCGCGTCAGTGTCGGCGTCGGATTTCAACCTCTGAGGAGAAAGGGGCGGGGAAAAGAAAGCGGCGGCTCGCAGGTCTCCGCAGGTCTAGCCCTCTGGCTGAAATTGCCAAGGTAACCTAGGCACAAGACCTTCTGAAACTCCTTTGCACGCAGTTTCAACCAACTGCCTTCTGACCATTGCACTCTGACTTGTCAAAGTACCCACGCTCCTTTGCACAATGCCCTTCTCTCCCAGTACCCTGAACCTGGTCCCTGAATTCCGGCGTTCTGAAGAAGGTGGAAGCTGAGTGCAAAAATAAAAAAATGCAGTTCCTCACTGAAAGATGCGCGAATTAGTGCTTATTATGATGCAGGAAAGGAGCTTTGGTGGTGTAGTGGTTAAAGCATTTGGCTGCTAACCAGAAGGTCGGAGGTTCAAACCCTCCAGTCACTCTTCGGGAGAAAGATAAGGCAATCTGCTTCTGTAAGGATTTAAAGGCTTGGAAACCCTATGAGGCAGTTCTACTCGGTCCTAAAGGGTGACTATGAGTCAGACTAGATGGCAATGGGCAGTGGGATGATGCAGGACTATGTACGCTAAGCACTCTATAGAAGTGCAGCCAGAATGCTGCTTAGAAGCCAGCGTGGCCAGACTTTTCTCACATAATTTGGTCCTGTTGTCAGAAGGGGCTGTTCCTGGAGAAGGGTATCCATATCATGTTTGGTAAAGTAGACCAAAAACAAAACCAAACACTGCAGTGGAGTCAGATCTGACTCATAGCGACCTCTCCTTGGGTTTCCAAGACAGTATCATTACGGAAGTAGATTGCCCAATCGTCCTTTCAAAGAGTCGCTTGTGGGTTTGAACCGCTACCCTTCTGGTTAGCAGTCAGATGCCTTAGGCACTACGCCACCAGAGATCCCTGGTAAAGTAGAGGGTCAGCGAAAAAGGGAAAGACCCTCAACCAGATGGATTGACACAGTGGCTACAACAACGGGCTGAAGCATAGCAGGGATTGTGAGGATTGCGCAGGACGGGGCAGGGTTTTGTCCTGTTGTGCATAGAGTCTCTATGAGTCGGAGCCCACTGGAAGGTACCTAACGATAAATCTTTAGGGAAGCTGACTACCTTATCTTTCTCCCTCAGAGCAGCTGGTGGGTTAGAACCACCCACCTTTTGGTTATCAGCCAAATGATTTAACCATAACGCCACCAGTGCTCCTTAACTGATGCACCAAAAAAATCTCACTGTCACCGAGTTGACTCTACTCATAGCGACCGCCCCCCTTGGGTTTCCAAGGCGGTAGTGCCTAAAGCATTTGACTGCTAACCAGGAGGCTAGCGGTTCACACCCACCAGCCACTCCTTAGAAGGAAGATTGGGCAATCTACTTCCGTAGAGATATCACCTCGGAAACCCAGGGAGTGGTCGCTATGAGTCGGATCCGACTCCACGGCAGTGAGTTTGGTTATTTTGGTTTATCTCTATAGAAGTAGATTGCCCAGTCTTCCTTCTGGGGAGTAGCTGCTGGGTTTGAACCGCCAGGCTTCTGGTTCACAGTCAAATGCCTTAGCCACTACGCCAGAAAGGTTAAATTATTTGCCTTAGGTTTAATAACCAGGAAAAGAGTTGATGCAAAAACAGTGGATACTCAGTAATCACTTAAGTCTGTTTCAGAGTTCAGTCATCACACCCACAGTAGTCCAGTTGATTCCTGCTCATCATGACCCTGTAGAATAGAATGAACTACCCATAGGTTTTCCAAGGCTGTAAATGGTTGTGGAAGGAGACTGACACATCCTTCTCCTATGGAGCAGTTGGTGGGTTTCAACCACAGGCCTTTTGGTTAGCAGCCAAGCACTATTAACCACTGTGCCACCAGGACTCCTTGCAGGCATCATAGAATATATTTCTTAACATCAGCTTTGGAGGCCTGTTTCATATGCATGGAGATGTGTACAAAACATCAGAGAAGAATATGGAAGTCCCTGATGTTTTTGAATACATAGGAGAATATGGAGGAGCTCCGGTAGCATAGTGCCTAAGGCACTTGACTGCTAACCAGAAGGCTGGCGGTTCAAACCCACCAGTCACTCTTCGGAAGGAAGGTTGGGAAATCTACTTTCATAGTGATACCGCCTGGGAAACCCAAGGAGGGGTTGTTATGAGTCAGGGCCGACTCAATGGCACATAACAACAACAACAAGGCAGAGACGGGGTACCTGGGAGGTGCAAACAGTTAATGTACTTAGTTGACTACTAACTGAAAGGTTGGAAGTTCAAGTACCCAGAAGAGACTCATAAAAAAAGGTCTTGCTATCTACTTTTGAAAACTAAGCCATTAAAAATTTTACGGAGCACAGTTCCACTCTGACACATTCTGAAGTCACCATAAGATGACATCTACTAGCCAGTAACTGGTGAGTTAGTTGAAGGCAGGCATGGTCAGGTTTCTAGACTTGTTGGGGGGGGAGGGGTTGTCTAAATCTAATCAATAAGTTAGAGTTAAAAGATTTTATTAGGTGAAAACACTGTTCTTGAACAGGGGACACCCCTCCTAAGTGATGAGCTGGTCCCATTAGATGAGCTTATATACAGTACAGACTGTTAGTGGATCTCCTAAAGGGGACATTTAAAGTGATTGCTTATCATTCACTTAATTGGCAGGAGGTGGGCTGATTGGTTTATGAAGTTTGTGTGTGAGCATTCTATAGGGTAATTATGACTTACCTAATTATTTAAACTTTTCCCAGAACTGTCTTTATCATGAGTTTTTAGTTTTTGTGCAATGTTGAGTTAAATTTAAATGGGGAGAATTTTTTTAGTAGAAAAGATACCAAATAGGTTATCTAAAGTGCTGAAAACAGTTAATTTATAATCCTTCATTTTTCTCCAGTTTGGTGGTTGCTTGAACAGAGCCTCTTTTGAGCACTCACAGAAATCAACATTTTCAGCTCATTCTGAGAAAAGTAGATCAGTCCCATTTTTACCTGTGAGAGGTGACAAGTCCTGGCCTTCATCCAGGACTGCACAGAGATATGTGTGCATCATCAGGAAACTAATAATTTGGCAATTATAAATAGGTCAGTTTCCTTTAAATATCTGTTCAGAGTAAGGTTTAAAATAGCTTGACTTTATATTAATAAGATTATAAAGCTCTTTAGAATAAACTACTGTATAAGGAATTTATTATATGCACTGAATATAATATAATTAGAATTTCAAGCCAAGAGAATTTTTGAAATTAATGTTTGAGGACAATGTATTACCTTAAGGGAATAGGACCAATTTAGAATTTACCAGTTATGTAAGGAGCTACAAGTGGTTTGGTTAATTGACATCATATATATATAAATATATATATATAATTTCAGTGCCTCTTATAGATTGGCACCTGTTGTGGATTGAATTGCACTCCTCAAAAACTTATGTTGTAAATCCTAACCCCTAAGAAGTAGATGTCCACCACTCATCTGTCAGAATAGCCAGACTTCTCACCTACTTTGTTTGGTCATGTGGTCAGAAGGGACCATTTTCTGCAGAAGGATATCACAAAGTAGAGGGGCAGCAAAAAAAGGGAAAACCCTCAACAAGATGGATTGACACAGTGGCTGCAATGACTGTGAAGATAGTCCACGACTGGGCAGTGTTTCGTTCTGTTGTACATAGGGTCACTATGAGTTGGAGCTGACTCAATGGCACCTAAAAACAACAATAATAACATAAAGTAGACATAAATCCCTTGGGAATAAGATTTTCTTTGTTATGGTAATGCAGTCATATAGGTGTAGGATGTGTCTTAAGCCAATCACTTCTGAGATATGAAAGAACAGGATTTGCATAGAAGAAAGCAGACACAGGGGAAAGGCCAACGTTATCTGAAGATGACAGAAGTCAGACAATGTACAAGCCCAGGAATTCCAAACACGGCCAGTTAGAGAAGCTGAGACAAGGATTTTTTTCCCCAGAGAAGACAGGGAAAGAGACTTCCCTTAGGGTTGGTGCCCTGAATTTGGACTTCTGGCCTCCTTAAACTGTGAGAAAATAAATTTCTACTGATTAAAGCCACACACTTGTGGTACTTCTGTTACAGCAGCACTAAGGAACTAAGAGAGCACCCACAGAGCTCCCTGACTGGCCTGTCCCAAGCCCAGCCCTATACCTTATCTCTGACCACTCTTCTGTTCTTATTATTTGCCCCCAAACCCCAAACCCAGTGAATTGTCTCACCTTCCCAGCACCATCACCCCTCTGTACCTGTTATTCCATTTGTCTGGAATACTGTCTGTTTTGTCCTCTAGTGCTGCCATAACAGAAATACCACAGTGGGTGACTTTCACAAACAGGGATTTATTTTCTTATAGTTTAGGAGACTAGAAGTCCGAGTTCAAAGTGCTAGCTCTAGGGGATAGGTGAAAGCCACTCAACCTTGGACTTCAGCTCTGCCTCTTGCTCCTGGCCCACTGAAGCTGGAGGCTTCTCTTAACTCAGACAGCTGTTGACTGCTGAGGCTGACAAACCCAAGGTCAACAAGTAAAATGGCACAGCCGCAGGATTATTAAGCAAAACGGTAGGCCACAAGTTCAAGTCCAGAACACAGTCCTAAGATCAGCAGGCAACATGACAGGCTGCTGAATGAAGACTCGGCTAAGTGCGAGATCCAAGCATGCCAAAAAGCTCAAGACCTTTTTCAAAGTTTCTCTTTATGTACTGGAAGCAGACCACATCCCTAAGGCAGCTACTCAACTGCTCATAGCAGA